CCAACTATTGTGCGAGTTTTTATGAGTGGACTGGCTACTTACGCTTTACGCTGAAGGACTGTGTAGCCAGCTCGGCCGTGTTGTCACAAGATCTGAGGCTCAGCGCAGGCATTGCAGTGGCAGATTAGAGAGACGAATCCAGCGACCTTTGTTGTCTAGGCAGTTGCAGGCAGTGTGCCTGCTGGAGGATGCTTGTATGCAGAGGACTGGCCTGGAGAGGACAAAAGAGACGACATAGCGTTGGGGGAAGAGGGTTGGGGAGATGATGGAGGTAGGAGGAAAAGGAGTGACGAGAGCAAGTGCGTCATTATATGCTCTCGATCTTTGGTACTCGATTATGTAATCACTTCGATATATTGTTTAAAGGTAAAAACAAATTATATTATAAGTCTGACAGAGTGATTGTTAACATTATTAATATATATAATTGTATATTATCTTACTAAAAGTATTGTAATTAACTTACAAGCACAACATATTACTTTTATGACTATTATAATCAATCAACTATTGTTACAAATAACTTATAATATAATTTTAGCATATTATAATAGGAGTTGAGTACTTGTACCTCACATGTAATGTTGTAATAATACTATTAGTAAGCTTACTTACTCTAAAACATGTTTGTAGTTTAATAGAAACTTTGTATATTTCTTACATTTATATACAATCATTATAATTACATTACAAGTGAAATACAAGTATTATTTTAGAATGTAATGCTTATGAAATCATTTTATTAGTTTACTTTTGCTATTATTAAATACATTTGTTACGACTTTTTCGTGATGGTAGCGCATGTCGAAATGGACGTGCAATTCCCCTTGCTCACCAAGTTACATCCCAGTTCCATCTACTTTTTAGCACCAGAGATGAGGGGGGAACTATTCTCTGTCTCATATATCCACGGATTTTAAGGTACAATGGATTGATCAAGACATTGAATTCTATCTTCACGCATTCTTTAGGTGACCAAACTTAGTTTTAGGTCAGCATAACTGGTAAATTATCGGTTACATTGAAAATATACGCTAAATTTTTAAGCATGGACAGTCATTCCATACCGAACTAGTGTACGAGTATCTTCGAACACGATTACCGCCCGGCTTTGTGCTCGAAAGCTGCTCGTATCCCAACTCACATGAGCAGAAGGCCAATATCAGAAGCAGCGGAGGTTTTGTCAACTGGCTAAATACAACACCGCCAGGATCTGTAATTCTTCTGGCACATTCAATGGGTGGCCTATTGGCTGCAGACGTAGCAACAGGAAGCAGCGGCATTGTTTTAACCGAAGAGCAAGAAGAATGGTGTGAGGAGTG